AAGAGCGGTATTTTTTGGTCTGTTTAAGCCCCCTGACAGCCTTCAGGTGATGGCTCATACATCTTACTCAGCCTTCCTCCCCCATCTATACTGGCCTGTCCTGGGCATAACTTCTAGAGAGTGGAGAGGTCAGTGGATATTTGTGCTGTCCCAGTCCTCATGCCTTTGGGGCTGTTGCAGCTGGGAAATCTTCGGCAGGGCCTTCTCCTCTGTCTCTGCACCCTTTAGGGTGTCCACACATGTCCCCTGCTGCCAGAAAGACTCTCACTTAGCACTGAAGTGGCCAGTGAGATGATTGCAGTGGAAACCCCAGCATGTTTCCTGGTGGTGCTGCTCAGGGAAAAGGGCAGACAAGGGCACAGCTTGTTCTCCTTTCATTTGGTACCTCGGTACTTGAGATGAGAACGTACTGAGTGACTGCGTTTGGGGGAGAGGGAGGGACAGCCCTAAGCAGGTACAAGGTGGGCTTAGGTTGGCCAGTGCTCAGGAGACAGCTGACAGTGCTCTGAAGACTTGAGATGATCTGTATTATTGTCAAGAAAAAGTGACTGGAGAAGACGGGCAGGCAGGGTATCTTCCTCTGACTGACAATGCACTCTTTGAGAAGATGGATGCGTTCGGAGGTGTGGCTAGGTAATGTGTTTTTCTGAGCAGGTTCCCGACGGGTAAACGCAGGCATTGTTCGTTGCCCAGCATGAGTTTGTGTTTATTCTGTGCCTGGTTTAGCTAAGCTAGCGTTTCTTGGAAATGATTTCCAGCTCTTAGCAATCGGGAAGTCAAATATTCTTCCCCTGCCTATCGCAAGCCTTGCAGAGTTCTCCCAGTTAGTCACTAAGCTGCTTATCACATTTGCTGTCAAACACCGCCATGATAAGCTTTCATGCTGTGTTCCATGGGTGGGGGCTGAACTGGCCGATGCCACGGGACGTGCCTCCGGGCTGCCTGCAGGGACCCCGATCAGCACAGCTTGCCGTGGTCTGGCACTGGAGCCGAGCCACTTGCAGGCACAAGTGGTGCCACACCGGAGCAGTGCCTATCCACAGCTTGGAGTTTTCACAGCGTAGCAGGAATTTTGTTGATGTCCTCATGAGCCTCTGTTAGAAATCATAATACAGATTCATAACCAGCCAGTGTTGGCCTTGTTGCATAAGGGTGTAAGCGAGACCTGTGTGCCTAATGTTGCATGAGAACTGTGGGTTTAGGACCTGCTAGGGTATATTTGTGTTCCGGTTTGCTCAGTATCATCAGTTTAGCATGTTTTCTTATGCATTCAACCTCAAGAGAAATTAGCACAAGCACATGCCAGCAGTTTGCGAACTCGCTGTGCTTTGCCATCAGATGTGAAGTAGTAGCAATTCTGGTCTGCTTTTACTCCACTGCCTGGAAGCCATGTATTCCCTAGAGCTGCTGTTGCAGAGTCTTACAACAGGTAGCAGTGCATAGTCCTATACTAACAGCAGAAATGCCAGCTTATATGGAGAGCTTCGGTGGCAGCATGCTCAGAGGGACAGGTTGGCCCCACTTGAATCAGTCAGCGGGCATTCTCTCCGACCCACGTTACTCTTGGGTCCAAGAATGGCTCCTCCCTACTAGAGGTTGCCCATGTCTCCCACTGGGGAATGTGGGCACCTCACCTTCAGACAGGGGAGGTTAGAAGAGACGAGTCCTACCCCTGGTCCAGCTGTTCATTAAGAGCCCCTTGCTGGGTGCTTTCAGAAGAAACCCAGCTTGCTCTGGACTATGCTGAGGTGGGGGAGATGGAAGGGCTTAGAGAGCTGCATCCCACAATAGAAGAAATACAGCAAAATCTTTATGGACTACTCTCAAGAGCTATAATTGGGGAATCTGTATCACTTATTATTATTATTATTATTATTATTATTATTATTATTATTATTATTATTACTACTACTACTACTACTACTACTACTACTACTACTACTACTATTATCATCATCATGTCATAATAAAATAAAATGGAATAGCATGTGACTTTTGTCTCTACTACTACTACTACTACTACTACTACTACTACTACTACTATTATCATCATCATGTCATAATAAAATAAAATGGAATAGCATGTGACTTTTGTCTCCTAAATGAGAGGGATTTCCTTTCAGTTTGTTTTTTTTTCTAAAATGTTTGTAATAACCTATAGGAAGATGAAAGGAAGGTGTAGCTGCAATGCGCTTGTCAGATTTGTTTCTATTCCAGTTGCACCTTGAGTGTTTTCTTAAAATGGGCTTTACCAGAAACTACCTTAGAGAAAGGGTCTTTAAAGACTCAGTTTTTATGCATGTCTTTCCACTAAGTTAGCTAAAAACGTGGAGATCAGCTGGAGATTATGTCATGGTGAAATGTTCTATGCAGAGCCATTTAACATGTGGACCTCCAGCATACAACAGTCACATGACCTTGCTTTTAAAATATGTGCTGTGGGATGTGTTATAGAAGCTCAAGGCTTTCTGATGGATGAACTGCTCGGTCATCCACAAAAGGCAGCACAAATGAGCCAAGAAGGTTGAAAATATAAACAAGACTGAATGGTAACCAACCTGCCTGACACAAACCAGAGGGGAAGAAAACCTGTTTGATCCACCCAGATCAACGTGGGATGGCTCTGAAACCCAAGCAAACCTATGCATTTCATAGAATCATAGGATCATAGGTTTGGGTTGGAAGGGAACTTAAAGATCATCTAATTCCAACCCCCCTGCCATAGGCAAGGACACCTTCCATTAGACCAGGTTGCTCAAAGCCCCATCCAACCTGGCCTTGAACACTTCCAGGGATGGGGCATCCACAGCTTCTCTGGGCAAGCTGTTCCAGTGTCTCACCACCCTCATAGTAAAGAATTTCTTCCTTATATCTAATCTAAATCTACCCTCTTTCAGTTTAAAACCGTTACCCCTTGTCCTATCACTATGTGCCCTTGTAAAAAGTCCCTCTCCAGCTTTCTTGTAGGCCCCCTTCAGGTACTGGAAGGCTGCTATAAGGTCTCTCCAGAGCCTTCCCTTCTCCAGGCTGAACAACCCCAACTCTCTCAGCCTGTCTTCATAGGAGAGGTGCTCCAGCTCTCTGATCATCTTCGTGGCCCTCCTCTGGACTCGCTCCACAGGTCCATGTCCTTCTTATGTTGGGTGCCTGAGAGCTGAACACAGAACTCCAGGCGGGGTCTCACAAGAGTGGAGTAGAGGCGGGGAATCACTTCTCTCAACCTGTTGGTCGCACTTCTTTTGATGCAGCCCAGGATACGGTTGGCTTTCTGGGCTGCAAGCGCACATTGCCGGGTCATGTTGAGCTTCTCATCAACCAACACCCCCAAGTCCTTCTCCTCAGGGCTGTTCTCAATCCATTCACCGCCCAGCCTGTATCCATGTTTGCGATTGCCCCGACCCACGTGCAGGACTCTGCACTTGGCCTTGTTGAACTTCATGAGGTTCGCACAGGTCCACCTCTCAAGCCTGTCAAGGTCCCACGGATGGCATCCCTTCCCTCCAGCGTGTTGACCGCACCACACAGCTTGGTGTCGTTGGCAAACTTGTTGAGGGTGCACTCAATCCCACTGTCCATGTCACAGACAAAGATGTTAAACAGCGCCGGTCCCAATACCGACCCCTGAGGAACGCCACTCATCACTGGTCTCCACCTGGACATCGAGCCGTTGACCACAACTCTTTGAGTGCAACCATCCAGCCAATTCCTTATCCACTGAGTGGTTCATCCATCAAATCCATGTCTCTCCAATTTAGAGACAAGGACGTCGTGCGGGACAGTGCCAAATGCTTTGCTCAAGTCCAGGTAGAGGACATCAGTTGCTCTGCCTTTATCCACCAATGCTGTAACCCCATC